TTGGGCCCAGCACACATCCGACTGAGCCTGGGAAAAAACTCGCTCCCACATACGTTCTAATTCAGTTAGGCCTACGAGTGCATCAGACGGGAAAGCCACAACATGCCATAACATCTTTGACCACTGGAGTGCGGGTGCCATGGCCTCACGCGCCGCGGGCTCACCGTGCAAGGCCAGCTTGGCGCGCAAGCTCGCACCCCTCGTCGCGGGCGCCAGGTAGGACAAGGCCTGGCGACGGATGGCGAGCAGCTCCTGGTCGTCGACGCCGTTGACCTCGACCCCATAGTGAGCTGCCACCTTGATTCCAGTGGTGTAGACTCTCCCGAGCCTGTCGTCGGCCTTCCTCATGGACTTGAGCTTGGCCGCCTTGGCCAGGCGCTGGGAGGACTTCCTCAAACGCATCTTCCTCTTGCCAGCGGTGCGGGTTTGCGCCCGTCGCCGTCCGCAGGCGAAGTCCGTGCCGAGGTAGGCGGCCGCTGGCTTGGACTTATCTTTGGCGAGGCCGAGCTTCGTGGTCACCTCCATGCCAAGGGCACTATCACTGGCCACGACGGCGACCTTATCATTGAGAGTGGCCTGAAATCGTCTCGAAACTGCTTGGAACTGCACACCCGCTTGGATCGCAACGCCTGCGACGATGTCTCGGTCACGGCCGCTCACGTGGACCCCAGTGTCGTCAATGTAGCTCATGAAATCGATCGACGGGTTGCGGCGCACAAACTGGTCGTACTCAGTGATCGTGAAGGCTCGAACCGCAACATCAGCAAATGCACAGCCTGCTGGTAGGCCGAAAGTGGCGAACAAGACTGTGCAACTGTGGTGCAGGCCCAGGCGAATGATACGCGGTGACTGCCACGTGTTGAAAATTAACTTGAGAATCGGCATGGGCATGCCGCAGGCAAGGAGGCGACCACGCAATACCTCCAGCGGGATGCCATCGTAGAACTTGCCGTAAGCCATCAGAATCAAAAGGCTATAATTGTTCTGGCTGACCTCAGCCTCACTGCGCGCAGCCTGCAGCCAAGACAGATCGAGTGCACTGCGGCCTGCCAGGGCGCCCCAGTACGGGCGGCGCAGCTGCTGGTGAAGGCCATCGAGGTCACGGCGGCGAAGCCTCTGCCAGACACGGTACATGCCCGAGTACAATATTATCAGTCGGTGGCCCTGGTCAGGCTTAGCAAGCATGGGCATGACAATGAAGCATAACTGGCGAGGCAATAGACCAATCCGTTCGCACGCCTCGAACAGCGCTGCCATGGCGTCGAGCGCAGCGCGAGGAAGTAGCCCAAAGTGACGAGGATGCACTCGATCAAGACTGGCCGTTGTAGTGCGCGGGAAGCTGTTGGCCACATCGCGGATGATGTCCGCACTGGCCCTGTCCATTGCCGACCTGTCGGGCGTCCAGGCTTTGCTCGGAACCTGGCTAGCATGCCAAAGCTTCTCATACTTGCGAACCTCGGCCTCGACGATATCATGAGGATGTGCCGTAAGCCCTCCAGCAGTACGAACTACCGTAGGGTGAGGTGCATTGGGTACTCGGGTAGCGCGGTGAAGTCCTCGCGCACCATTGGACGATGCCGCGTCGCACCAGTCCTGCCACCGTTGGCGATCATCCTTTTACTTCATCCAGCTCGGCCTTCCGTGCATCAGCTGCAATGTCTCGACGGTACTGCTCAAGAATTTCAGCAGCTCGGTGGCTGTCACGGTGGATCCGAGGGGCGACGCAGGTCTCGAACTCATCGTCCTGAGAAACGATTCCAGTCTGGTCCCCGAGCTGCGCATTGATGCCAAAGAAATCGCCCTGGTCGATGCCAGGCTCGTCAAACTGATCAGGAAACAGGCCATCAACTTGCAATCCTTCCTGGCCTGAGGGGCCAACCACGGTAGCGGCCGCAGGGGCCACTTCAGAGCGCAACTGTGCTGTGGACGGCGCTGGTGGCGGGCCTTGGGCTCCAGCTGCGCGAAGTAAGGCATTACCTACAGCGACTCGCGCCTCAAGAACACTGGCATCCAGACGTGCGCATAGACCCTGCCCGAAATACTCAGCGGTCGAAAACACATCCACCTCGGCTTCCAGACAAGGTACCGCAGTGTGCTTGAGCCTCATGAGCTTGCACAAGTTGTCCAGGGACTGCGTTAACCATGTCCAGCCGCGAGAGATCGCCTTGGCTTCAGCAACTGTCTCGGGGCGGTGATTGTAATCAACCCATCTGGCTTTGGGCGGCGCTCCCCACGAGGCGCTGCTGGGCGCACACTGGCCAGTGACTGCAATGACCTCCTTCTCGGCGGCATGGGCGAAGGTAGCCCATGCTCGCGACAAAATGCACCATGCTTCACGAACAGGCTTCTGGCGACTAACATCGACGGCCGCCTCAACCATCGCAGAGGGGCACTGCCAGTCAGAGCCTTCTCGTGCAGGACCAATGAAACGTTCGGTCTCATACTTCTTTGCCACCGTGTATGCCATGTACTGCTGCCTTGGGCCTTCCGTAGAGAGGCCCCAGTGAAATAGGTCGGTGAGGTCGCTTCGGCCATGAGGTGTCCGCGTGGACGGACTCGAGCAACCTCTTGGCAACAGCGTTGACAGCAAAGAAATCAATCGCACGGCTAGACTTGGGTGTAATGCATGTGGGCAGGGACGGGGCCACAAGTACCATCTTGGCTACTCTCGGGAAACCTGACTCCTCGATGTCCCTCGGCGTAGCATTCCAGCCGCCAGCCAGGGCGACGGGGTCGGCGATCTCGGAAACCCGCGTGCCGATCTCAGCCAGGATACGCGCATTCCTGCCCTTGGTGCCCTGGTTGACCACCAGGTAGAAACAGACGATGTGCAACGGTGGCCATCCAGGAAGGTGCACAACTGCGTGCAGTGCGCGGCGATGGCGAAGGACAGCGCGGGCGCAACCTGGTCCCCGAAGTCCAACGTGATCCCTAGCAAGTACAGCAACACCCTGCGTGGGCGTTGTTCCCTTGGACTGGGCGCCAGGGCTGGTGAGACACTTCCACCCGCGACGACCTGCCCAGGCAACACAATCATCATTATCATCATCATGGAATCCAACTTCCTGCGCGACGAAGATTGTCGCTGACGAAGCCTGTAACTTTTCCTTCAGCGTACGGATGCCACGGTTGGCGTTGAAGGACTCCACGAAGACCTGGCTTCTAGGGTCAGCATTCGGTGGTGGCCGAACTTGGCCGTGATGAACAGGCAAACTGCTGACTAATGCAGGCATATCAAAGGCGCTGCCGTTTGTCACGGTGCATGGCCAGCAGCTTGTTATGGAACTTCTGCATGAGGTCTTCGTTGCTGTCAGCAGGGTTGCCCCCTTTGACGAGCTCGAAAAGTTCCTTTGACTCCTCGAAGGTGGGGTCGAGGTCACGCTTGACGCCGCCACCAGGGGAGCCATCATCACCAGGAGTAGGAGTCTCATCAGGACTCTCAGCGGGCTGCTGTGGCATAGGGGCGTCCGCTGGCTCGGGCGCGGTTGCCTTCCGCACCTGGCCCTCGAGGTCCCCGAACAACTTGGCAGTGGTCTCCGCACCGATGGACTCGAGGGCGGTGCGGATCTCCTCGGGGAGCCCATCCTTGTCGAACTTGAACTCAGGGAAGAGGGACCGCTCTGGGGCGACGGCCTTGGCGGTCTCAGCGGACGACTTCTTGTAGCCGTCGATCTCCGCCTCCTTGGAAGTAATTGCGGCCCTCTTGTTCTCCAGTGCAGCCTGGAGATCATGAACTTGCTTGGACATCTTCCCAGCCTCGCGCTGGAGCGTGACCAGCTGCGACTGCGCATTCTTGAGCTTATCCTGGGCCCTGCGATGGGCAGCCTCAGGAGACTGGACACTCTCGAGCTGCACACGGAGGGTCTCAATCTCAAGCTGGTGCGCCTGCTTGACATTCGGCGGCAGCGACGGCTCCTTGAGGTACTTTTCATAGAGAGATATCGACGAGAGAATCTCTGCACGGGTAGCTCCTGCATCCTTCGGCCTCTCAGCTCCTGTACCCTGGTCGGGCGTCGGGTCCTTGAGGCTGGTGTTGGCCAACTTGCGCTCGAGCGCGGCCACCTGCTTGCGGAGCTCCTCGTTCTGGTCCCGTGCCCATGGCGCTGGTGTGGCTCGACGGCCACCAAGCACGGGCTTCCTCCCTTGCACTTCCTTCTCAGCTCTAGCGTGTGCGGTCTTGGCTGCGGCGACAATGTGAGCTGGGGCAGCGGTGCCGCAGCGGCAGCGGACTCGGCACGCCCAGTTCTTGTCTGCGCCACAACTGCATCCCCAGAACGGCGTCCTGGGCCCGCGCAGCACATCGGAGACGGGAGGCGGTGGGACCATGGGGCTCGCGAGCCCTCCAGCTGGAGGACCCCTGAAAAATTGGATTGTCTGGCTCGGGAAACAGAGCTATCCCACTTTGGCACGAGGGCGCGGAAGCCCCCAAGTGCAAGCATCTTGAGCCAAAATGGTTACGGAAGGAGGAGGAGGAGGAGGAGGAGGAGGAGGAGGAGGAGGAGGGGGAGGAGAAGACGTGGGGCGCTGTCTCTTCAAAAAAACGAGGACCCAACACAGGATGGTTGGGAAAAACAAAAAAACAGCGTTGTCCCAAATTCATCAAACATGTAAACGCTGGTTTTGGGGCGCGACCCGAAAATAAAACCTTCAGCAAATCAAAGCTGGCACAGCACCTATCCGAAACGCATCCCAAAGAAGGGGGTCGCTTAAAAGACGCACTCCTATCCCAAACCATAGCCGTGCACCTCCCCCCAATCCATGTTGACGCCGACGACGCAACGCCGACGCCGACGCCGACGCCGACGCCGACGCCGACGCCGACGCCGACGACGACGCCGACGCCGACGCCGACGCCGACGCCGACGCCGACGACGACGACGACGACGGCGACGACGGCGACGGCGCCGCCGCCGCCGCCGCCGCGGCACGCCAGCCTCGGACACACAAACCCCCGATCCCACGGGAGGATCACCCCAGCCCCCTGCCGCTCAGCCCGGCGCCGGGAGGCGCCGTGGCGGTGGCGGCTGCCAGCTCCTCCGCGAGGGGAGGGCGTCGACGACGACGAGGACGACCACGACGACGACGACGACGACGACGACGACGACGACAACGACGACGACGACGACCCCTGGGGGGACCGGGACCCCCGGGGCCCAAGGAGCGGCAGCGCAGCAAAGCGAAAGGGCGGAGGCGCGCGCTCCACGAAAAGGGGGGCATGGCCGTGCCCCGCGTGCGGGCACGGCGCGGGGGCCGCGGCCGCAGACCGTGCGAAGCGCAGGCAGACTCGGGCGATTAGATGCCTCCTGGATGGGGTCAGAGTAGATGGGGTCGGAGGATCTCGCCGCATCGCCGACACATCGGCGATGCATCGGCGACGCATCGGCCATGCACTGGGGGCGTCAGCGATGCATCCGCGACGTCGGCGTGGAGAAAAACGGGCCCCACATCGAGCCGCATCGCCGATGCATCGCCGATGCATCGCCGATGCGGCGCGATCCTCCGACCACATCTGCTCCGACCCCATCTAGGAGGCCTAGAGCGATAGCCAAGGAGCGGCAGCGGGAGGGGAACCAGAGGGGTCCTGCCTGCAGCGCCCCGTCGCTGCATGCCACGGGAGCGCAGGCAGACGGAGAGCCCCCGGTGCGCCCGAGGACGGCGGCCGCGCTAGTCATCACCGCCCTCTCTGCCGCCCCCGAACTCAGCCTCCAGAGATGTACACTGAGGTCGGGCATGTTCCCCTACAGGCGGGGATCTGGTCAACAAATCTTCAAAACATACCACAAAATACTCCAACCAAACATCGCCCCCATACCATTTTTTAGAATATTTTCAAATGTTTCCCTTGTTGAGGGACAGTCCCGACTTAAATGTACACTTGTCCTCCTCCTCTCCGACTCTGGTGCATGTGCCGCAGCTGTCATCCAAATGCGTCAGGTTCGTGTCGTGCCGACTTCGGCGTTGATCGTTCAACCTTGAACGATCGGCCGTTTCCGAAACGTCCAAATCGTTCCACATCGTAGGGCGACCGAATCTATACATATCCACTGCTCCCTGGCCAGGCACACCGTGAACCCAGCAGCAGTGTAAACGCCACACCCTCCTGGCTGGGCCAGGAGGGCGTATACACAGCTCCTGGGTTCAGAGTGGGCCTGGCCAGGGAGCAGTGGATATGTATCTAGGGCTCCCAACTTCGCGCTTCGCGCTCCGCGAAGCGCGAAGCGCGAATAATTTCGCGCCCTCGCGCCGCCCCCCCAAAGGGAGAAAAGGAGGACGAGGAGGAGGGGGAGAAGGAACGAGGACCGCGAAGCGCGAAGCGCGAATAACTTCGCGCCCTCATGGGAGCCCTTGTGTATAGATTTCGTCGCCCGACATCGAACGATTCTGGGTCGCCCACGGCGTTCAATGTTGGACGCCGCTGGCGGGGTTGCCGCCAGTCGACACGACACGACCCTACTGCACTTCTGTGACATCTGCACTTCTGCACTGCTTCCGTGTAGGATCGTCGGCCCGCCCCCGCCTGTCGGGTCGGGCGAAAGGGGGGGATAGCAAAGGGGGGGTTTGAGAATCAGCCAACGTAGCTGATTTTCCCGGCGCCTCCCGGCGCCGGAGGCGGCTATGTATCGAGGAATGGGCCCCTCGGTGAGGCCGAAACCAGCTGCATGCAGCAAATTTCGTAACCCCCCCTTTCCCAATCCCCCCCTTTCGCCCGACCCGAGCCTGGCGGCCTGGCTGGTGGGATTGGAGGGGGGCGGGGGCTGGCCGGGGCGTTGGTCACTCAGCCTCCAGTGAATTGTACACGTGTCCAACTCCTCTCCCACTCTGGTGCACGTGCCGCAGCTGTCATCCAAGCACTTCAGGTGAATGCTTTTTGATACGGCGTTTCGACATTGGGCGGAAAGGGGGGGGGGTCTGGCTAAAGACCTCTGCTTAAAGCGACTGTTTGGAACCGGAGCTGTCATCCAAGCGCGTCGGGTGAATGCTTTTTTATGTGTATATAATTTGGCGTTGCGACACCAGGCCGAAGGGGGGGGAGGGGGTGTGTGTGGCTCCGGACCTCTGCTTAGTGCGACTGTTTGGAACCGTGCGTCCTATGGGATATGGGCCCCACCTGCTCGAACAGGCGCCCAAAACAGCAAAGACCTTTCCACGGGGGGGGAAAGGGGGCTGCGAGGGCTCGCGCCGATCGGCAAAATAATGATCATTGCACCGGCCTTGCAGACGTGCTGCAGCGGATTTCTGCGTGGATTTTTCCCCGAAGCCGCAGGCGAAAAACGAAAGGAATTTCGCGTGGCTTCTTTTTGGTCTTCACTCCTGGCCAAAAGTCCGCACGAAATTCACCCCGAAATCCGGAAGGACACTCCGGGCCCATCCTATCGTTTTCCGAACGAGGTCCGCTCTGCGATGTTGGCGCCATGAGAACGGAAAAAACGCTCGCCAGTGGCAGCTGCACCTCTGCACTGCCTCTGTGCAGAATCGTCGGCCACCCCCCTGTGCCTGGGCCCCCTCTAGCGGGGCGGGAGTGTGGAGGGGGGGGGGCGGGGGCTGGACGGGGCCTTGGTCACTCAGCCTCCAGAGAGACGCACACGTGTCCAATCCCTCTGCCGCTCTGGTGCATGTGCCGCAGCTGTCATCCAAACACTTCGGGTGAACCTTTTTTTAATCGGCGGTTCGACATTAGGCGGAAAGGGGGAGGGGGCTCCGTGTGCGCCTCTGCCCTGCCTCCGTGTAGGATCGTCGGCCCCCCCCTCCCCCCCCGCCCGGGGCCCCTCTGGCGGGGCGGGTGTGTGGAGGGGGAGCGGGGGCTGGGCGGGGCGCGCGTACGCTCGCTGGACTTGTGTCGGGCGTGTCTTCCTACAGGCGGGTTTTGGACGCAAGATTAAACATAGTCAAAACATATTGAAAAAAAGAAAAAACATCGGGAAAACATGATTGAACATTTTAGAAATAGTAGAAATATAAACAGACTGCCTCCAAAAAATGCAGATATAGTCAAAACAATCCACAGATAATATAATTAAACACTAATCGAAACTAACCAAACAAAAAAAAAACAAGCATTATGGAAGAAATATCATCGAATACCCAAACATATTCCAAACAATGGTCGGAACATCGTCTCCAGACTATATTTTGGCTATGTTTGAACATGCCTCCTGTGGAGGGACACGCCCGACCTAACGCCAGACCCGGGCCACCTTGCACTGATCGGGGGCGCGCAAACATGGATTAGCGATCCATGGGTTTGGCTCGCGGTCGCCAGTTCGGCGGCTGAAATCCGCGATTTACCCAAATGCCCAAAGAATCTAAACATTCAAAACATGCCCAAAACTGCACAAACAAAATCCAAAAATGATGGAAACATCGTATCCAACCAATCTTTTGACTATGTTTGAACATTCCTCCTGTGGAGGGACACGCCCGACCTAACGCCAGACCCGGGTCACCTGGCACTGATCGGGGGCGCGCAAGCGGTTTGGCGCGCGGTCGCCAAGTCCATGGATGGGGGGAGGTGCCGTCCCCAAAGTGCGGCCGGCGCCGCCTCGCTCGGCGGCGGAACTCTGCGATGTCCCATGGAAACGGGCTCCGTCGCTAATCCACGCCCCCTTGATCCATGCTTGCGATCGCCTGAGAGTAGCGCCCTCGCACCGCAACGCAAGGAGCGTCTGGAAGTTCCGTGCGCGCCCGTGGACGGTCAGCGTGTTGCCCCCTTCGTCAACTCGTCGGGAGGAGGGCCGCGCATGAATCGGGGCGACCCAAGAGGGGGTCCAGCTGAGAGTGGGTGGTGCAATAGACTTGGATGTTTGCGATCGCCTGGCGCCGAGGCCACGCGGCTGCTCAGCCCCCCCGGGGTCTCCATAAGGAGGGCTCGGCGGGGGCCGGGCGGCGCGGCCGCGCTCCCCCGCCCGACATGGCCACCACGTGCACGCGCCCATGGTCTGTCGTCCACCGTCATCGTCGTCATCATCATCATCATCATCATCATCTTCTCATCATCATCACCATCATCATCAGCCTCATCCTCATCCTCATCCTCATCCTCATCCCCATCCTCAACCTCATCCTCATCCTCCTCCTCCGCTGTTTGCTGTTTGCCGCGCCATGAAGGTCTGTGCCTTGCAGCGCCATTCGGCGGCCGAAGCCGCCGCCAGGGGAGGGGGGAGGAAGGCCCGTCCCGCCCAGGCGCGCGGGGCGGCGGTGGAGCGGGGGCCAGGCCTGGCGACTCTACGAGCAGAGGCGCCAGAGGACCCCGCCAAGAGGAGCAGAGGAGAGCCTGCCTGGGCCAGGGGAGGGGCGAGGTCCCAGGGCCAAGGCGGCAGTCCGGGGGAGAAGCCTCGGACTGCCTCGAGCTGCCGAATTCGGATGCGGCCCGTCGCGCTGCCGCCCAGGATATCCGCCCAGTCCAGCAGCTTATCCCTACCTGGGCGGCAGCGCACAGGCGCTGGGACCAGGTGGGCAGAAGGCCCACCTGGTGTGCCTCCCCCTAACCCCACCAGAGCCAGAAGGCCAACGACGAGGAATCCATGGGCAGGGCCTTGAATAGGGGAGAAGAAGGGGTTAAGGGGGAGGCACCAAATTTTGGTCCCTAGGGACCCCTATGTCGCGGCCCCCTCAGGCGCCGCCGGCCGCGAGCTCGCCGAGCCTCGAGAGCCGCGCCCTCTACGAACTCGCCGTGCTGGTGGTCCTGCACTGGTCCTTGTCGAGGACGGTCTTGTCGTCCCACTCACTCGCCTCGTCAGCGAAGTCGGGGCACTCCTCCGCCTCGATGGACCACTCGGTAGTCCACGATCTTGAGGTACCGCCTGTTTGTGTTGTCCTCGATCTCGTGGTACTCGACTCAGTCGTGCTGGTCGAGGTAACTTTGGTTGACTCTGCAGTGCCCAACCTTGTGGCCCCCGACTCAGTCACCGTCGCGCTGGTCGAAGTGGTAGTGCTTGGCTCGGTGGTGCTCGAACCTTTCCCGTCCAACTCGGTAGTGCTGATTAGGTGGTTCGTTTGACTCCGTGATGGTGAGCTTTGGTACTGGGCTCGGTCGCGCTGGTCGAGTGGTACTGCATGGCTGCGAAGATCTCGAACTCATAGTGCTCGACTCAGCCGCTGAGGTACTTGTCGTGCTGGTTGAGGGTCGTTGGGAGGTCGGCTTGTTGCTGGTGATGTGGAATAGGTTGTGGGCACACTCAGGGCCTCCATGCACCGACTTCAAGTGGGGTTCTTGGCGGCCCCACCTCGCCCCGCTATGGCTAGGGGTCACGGTGCCCTCGGTGGGGGCGAACCCCAGGCCCAGTGATTCTTCTGTTGTCGATGAGGAATGTCTCGGCTGCCCTATGCTTCGCCCATTGGGCGCTCGGGAGCTCCTTCTCCGCCGTGGGAATGGTGGCGGTGGCGAGCTAGGGCGGACCGCGGGGGCGCGGGTAGTTGCGTCCTACCCCCCCCCTGCCCCTCACCATCCCCCCTGGTGGGCGCGGGCAGTACTCGTCCTGCCCCCCCCACCCTTCGAGCCCGTCTCGAAGTTTGATCCTTGCCTCACCAGGGCAGCGTTGACTTGTGCGTGGTGTAGTGGGCATGACGTCTGGCTGGAACCTCTGAGCCCTGGCTGTGCTGCTGCTATGTGCATCACTGCCGCAAAACGTGGCGACTTGTGCCTGGGGTGTTCCCACGCATTCGGGGCTTCCCCAGGACTTGCGTCCTGACAACTCGTGCAAAACTTGGCGACGTTGCCTGAGGTGTTCCCTCGCATTCGGGGCTTCCTCAGGACTTGCGTCCTAACTATTTTGTACTTGTCGTCGGAGCTCTTCGCCGCGTTCATCATCATCATCAAACTGTGCTCGATCAGCACTCGTCGAGTTGGTGGTCCTGCCCATAGCCTTGTCGGGTCGGTCCTGCAGGGCCCACTCCCTCGCCTCCTCCAACCAGGTCGGGGCGCTGCCTCGCCTCGCTGGGCCTCGGTGGTAGTCCTGGCCCATCTCCCTGGTCTTGTAGTGGTCGAGCGGCTGGAGAAAGTGGGCCACGTCGTCGTCGATGTGCCATCCGTTGTCATCGCTAGGCGTCTCGCCGAAGCGCCGCCTTATCTGCTTCATCAGCGCCGTCGCGATGGCCTGGCACAGCCTGTTCGGATGCTCCTTGGCCGCCGTGGCGCGCCACTGGCCGTCGCCGTTGATGCCCGCCAGCTCAGCGTGGTAGTTGGCCGTGTGGAAGCACCTCCCGCCTCCAGGCAGCCTACTTATCTCCGATCGGAGAGTCGGGGGGGATACCGCCAGCAGGCTTGTGGACTTCCTCGAACGCGCCCCGCAGGTGCACTGGTCGAAGGTGATCAGCTCGACTCCCTGCTGGCCAAGGAGGTGGCGCGTCTCGGGGGGCCTCCAGGAGCTGGCGAAGTGCTCCTCGGTGGGCTCGCACGGGTGCTCGAGCATGCCTGGGACGCCAAGGTTGAGGCACATGTACAGGAGCTCCAGCTGTGTCCTGTAAAGGCGATTGCCTGTCGCTACTTGTTCCATCTCTGGCCGGGAGGGGTAGCGGAGGCCCCACAAGCTGTTGTTGCTCCTCAGGGGTCTTGGTGGTCGACCCCTGCAGGCGTTGGGGGCAGGTGACGCGCCCGGCTCCAAGTCTCGCACGGTGGTCCGCCGATGACTCCTGCCAGCCTTCCTGCCTGTGCCATGCTGCTCCACTTGTTGACTGCAACTTCTGATGTAAGGTCGCCGAAGGTCGGGTCGTTGGCCACGTCCAGGCTGAGCATGTGTACGTCGCATGAGGCTCGACTGCTTACGCGGTCGAACCAATCCTGAACGTCTCCCTCTCGGCGTCGACCGCTGAACATATGCAGCACGTATAGTGTCCGAGCTGGCCTGGGCCTGGGTAGCTGGCGGCGGCGGCGGTTCCTCGATGAAGGGGAGCTCGAGGTCCTGGTAGTGGCCGCTGTTGCTGTCGTCGCTATCCTCGTCCGTGTGTATCTCTGGCGGACGAGCAGGGACTGCAGGCTTCTCTGCCCAGTCAATGGGCCTGCCAGCCCTTCTATTCGCCTGCTGTTGGTCCCTCACCACTTGCTGGTTGTGCTGCAGCTCGGATTTGCTGAGAAGCGCTGGACGTGTCCTTCGCCAGTGTCGAGCGCACCTGCGCACACGCAGCAAGTGCTTGACCAGTCTGTTCGTGGTGTGGTAGTCCATGCCGCGTCCGTAGCAGACCGAGCCCGTTGCCCACGAGATGGGATGCCCCGACGAGGTGTGGTCTTTGGTGATGTGGGCTCGTAATACTGCTGCACTGAGCTCTGTACGTCCGCAGTGATAGCAGAGGTACTTTCGCTGCTGCTCGAATTGCTGGTCTGGGAAGGGCGAGATGGCTTCCGTGTTGGTCCAACGCTGGAGTCGTAGCCGCCATCGAGCGTGGTGGTCGCGATCGTACTGGCGGGCTTTGCCACGTTGGCAAGCTTTCTTGACTACGCTAAGGTAGCTTTTGTAGTCGTTCCTGGCCCAGTCCTTCCAGTCGTCGAGTGTGTATGCTCCACCACGCTCGTCAGGTCCTGTGTGGTCGCGGACCCAGTCTAGATCGCGGCGGAGTAATGCTACCAATCCATAATTCCCGTCCCATGCTTGGCTGAGTAATCGGCGGAGGTGCAAGGGCCCCCAGTTGAGGCATCTACCGAATAGCCGAAGTCTCTCGAGGCGTAGGACGATCTCGGGGGGCAGCTTGTCGACTCCTTCAAGGATCTGGGTGTTCGTGACCTCCTTCTTCTGTCGCACTTTCCATGTAATCCTCTGTGCGGCAGCGTAGTTCACGATGTACTGGTTGTTGAAGTTCCTGGCCTGGCCTGCTGTGAGTTCGGTCCAGGCGGACGCGTTGTATAGCAGCTGGGATAACACCACACTGTCGGCTAGGCAGGCCTTGTCTTTGACAGCCAGCTCTGAGCGGCGATGGACTTCACGATGGAGAGGCCGCGTGGATGTCGCAGCGGTAGCCACTTTCACTGCGACATCCACCCCAGGAGATGCGTTGTCGGCTACGTAGGTCCCGAGGAGCTTGTGGTGGCGGACTACCTCGACGCAGCTCTCCGCGAGGGGGACCTCGATCCTCGGCACTCCATTGGAATAGAAGTTGGCCCGAGCTTGCCGGCTTCCAGGCCCGCTGAAGTCGATCATCACCTTGGTCTTGGTGAGCTGCAGCTGGAGGCCGAAGGTGCTGGTGGCGCAGTAGACGGCCTCGCAGAACCCCGTGGCCTCGGTCTGGATGTGATCGGGGCTGGTGAGCACGTGCATGCCCGTCAGGTCATCGACAAACGATAGGCCGTGGGGTTCGTGCTCCTGGAGTGGTCCTTCTGTTGGGTCGGTGGCGCATGCGAAGCTGCTCTCCAGGGGTACGCCCTGGGCCCTGAGCCCTCGCTGTGCCAGGTAGCTGTCGATCATGCGGTGGACTCGGCCGAAGAGCAGATTGAAGTCCGCGTCGGCGAGGGGCACGCCAGGCCTCGTTCCCTTGTGAGGCGCCATGAAGCTCTGGGAGAACCTGTGCGATGTCCACCTGTCGCGATACCCTTCGGCGATGAGGGCAGCCAGGTGGGAGCCATCCAGCACTGTGTCGAGAATCCCTGGGTTGGCCATGAGGTGCTCCAGCTGCGGCTGGGCCCATAGGGGAACTTCTAGGTTGTCTAGCACCTCCCTGACTTCGTCCTCTTCGCCTGGGATGCCGTGTACCAGCTGGGCGACAACCGAGTAGAAGGCCTCCTTTAAGTCATAGCAGCTGATCATGGAACACTTCCCTTGGGCCTGGCTTCTCTCGGTGAAGAGTAGCGCTGCTAGTACTGCCATGTCAGCCCCTCGCTTTGGCCGCCCGCCAACCTGGATGTCCTCCAGCGCTATGGCGAGGGCGGTGTTGAGCATGGCCCTCAGCTATTTATGGTGGTGCTTGCCCAGGACGTTGTTCAAGAGGATCTCGCGATAGGCTAGGAGGTATCGGGGGTCGCCCTTGCCTGTGGGGATGGCGACTAGATCCCCGCCCTTGAAGCTCAGCGGCTCCCGCACCGCGGTCGCCACCTTGGTGAAGAGGGGGTGCAGTAGCGCGGCTGCTTCTGCAGGAGCCGCCCTGAGAACGGCGTTCGTGAGCCCGTCAGGGCCTCCTTGCGTCCCAGCCTTGGCCGCGGCGAACTGGGCCTGGCAGACGTGCAGGGGCATCACCATGGAGAGATCCAGCGTTCCGTCGAAAGGCCTGGTCTTGCTGTCCTGGTTGCACTTCTGAGCAAGGTCGTCCGCAGACACGATCTTGCCTGCCTGTATCTTGGCGAAATGGTTGAGCTCCTGGTCCGCCATGTCCTGGGAGTTGTGGACCACCTCCCCATCCTTGTCGAGCCTCATGGGCTTTCCTGCTGGAAACCGCGCCTTCCTTCCGCCGTGCCTTAATAGGTCACGGTCGGCCTGCCACTGGGCCGCCGCGTCGTTCGCCGCAGAGGCGGAGGACGCAGTTGAGGCTAGCCGGCTGAGGAAGGCGCTACGGTCCTTCTCGACGGCCGCGGCGATGATCAGCCCAGACCTGGCGAGGAAGGAGTGGATGGCCATGGCGTAGACCATGGGTGAGATCGTCTAGTTCAGGAGGAGGTGCGCATAGTAGTGGATGTCAAGGATGGTGCCATCGTCGTCGCCGCGCTCTGTGCTCCACAGGGCCAATGAGGCCCCGACCTCTCCTCCAAGAAGGGAGTGGGCGTGGGCTACGAATCGCCCAGGTCGGTCGTCATGGGCTTCTCCTCTGAGCACTGCACGATGGACTCGAAGTGCGAGGCGCCTGGCACGGATTAGGCCCATGGTGGCCCTGGTGACGTAGGACTTCCTCGCTGCCTTGACGGCCTTGCCGAAGGCCTGGATGGCCGCGTCATTGACGACTCTGGTGACCTCCTCGCAATGGGCGTTGACGTCCACCTCCCAGGGGATGATCGGGGCCTGCTTGAGAATCTCTTTAAAGCTGGCCTTGGCGTCATCGTTGTTTAGGTTGGCCAGGTCAGGCCGCGGCCCTGAGGCCTTGGTGGTCTTGCAGACGGCCCACTTGAGGGTGGCGATTACTGGTATGTGGTCTTGTGCAGCGGTGCCTCGGTCAAGACCTGGCCCCGTGCTGCAGCTCGCTACGTACGGGGCGATGGAGGAGCTCAGCAGGATGTAGTCGATCCTGTGACAGTGCCCCTTAGATCCAATGTGCGTGTAGGAATTGTTTCCTGGATCCTTCGTGGTGTTGATGACCTCCATGTCGGTGTCGGCTGCGAAGCTAATGATGTGCTTGCCATTGCCGTTGGTCGGTTCTGGGCACCCACCGGTGACAACTCCTGGGGACTCGTAATCGCCGATACGCCCGTTCAGGTCCCCCATGAAGATGTCCACATGGTACTTGGCAGACAACCGCTGAGCAGACTCCCAGAACTCTGTCTTCTCTGCCGCCTGGGAGTCTTCGTGGGGGGCATACGCCGAGGCGGTGACCACGTCCGTGCCTGCCACGCGGGTCTTGATGATCAAAAGCCTGTCGTGCTGGCGGGGGGCCAGGGTATCTTTGGCACTTAGGTACCTCGCGACCCCACCCACGCTGATCGGCTGGGAGACGTTGAGCCAAATGTCGCATCCTCTGTTCTGCTGCGTGTGGCCTGAGGAGTAGCATACATATTCTCCAACGTTGCGGACGTCTCCGTCGTTCTGCGTCTCCTGGAGGGCCACCGCGTGTAGGCCCATATCCGAAAACTGTGCCGCCAGGTGCGTAACCTTGGAGATGCTCTGCTTGTTTTTGCTGGCCGCCTTGCCTTTGCCCGACTTGAAGTTGACGGCGGCTTTAAGGGATCTACAATTGTAAGCGCACAGGTTCAAGCAGAGGTCGGCCTTGATGGTAGTCGTGCTGATGGGCCGCTGGATCGCACACGGGGCTGCCTGGGGCTGGGTGGCTCAATGATAAAGGCTTGGTTCCGCACGGGAGGGTAGGCGGCCTTGACTGCATCGGGCGCTGAACGTAACCATTCCCAGGAAATGAACTTGTTGTGCGCGATTGCTTGGACTGCTGCAATGTTCGGGTCCA